AAAGGGGTAAAGTTAATTCTTGTTCGCAAAGTCAGCAGCCGCACCAGCAGCCGCCGGGCTGCGAAACTTTTTGATGCGTTTCTCGCCCCACGTAGCCGCGGAGGCAAGGCCCTTATTTTCCTGATGGGAATCAAATATTTTTCTGACCCATTCCACGTGAGTGAAGTTGGGAGTCTGTTACTCGCCAATTGCTGCCCTTACAAAGTTTTCTATGTCATGACCACGCGTACACACACTCGCGCGCGTCCACACACGTACACACACAGGCTCGCATTCCAGCCATGGCCCGTCCGGACTCCCACTGGAGCTCGCAGGAAGTTTGATTCTTGAAGCACACGGAAAAGCAACAGCGAGGGGGATTAACTTGCAGTGCAAAGTCAATAGACGCTACCCGGCCAACGTGGCGGGGCGGGCGCCGAAACGCACGTCAGGAGAGCCCCTCCTCATACCTCTCCGGCTTTCTATTCCCTGGTGGTGAAAGACGAGTAACCCGGTTATCGCAAGAGCATCAGCTCTTGCCGGAGTCTCGCGAAGGTGGTGCCTGGGGATTCCGAGACGAAGAAGGAAGAGCAAGTTGGCGCCTAACTTTGGACGGCCTCGGATGGATACGATGAGGCTTACCGTGTTTTGATTGTCTCTGTTCTTATCGCGTCGTGGAAGCGGTCTGGTCTGCAAGCGGGGCCAAGGTGCCTCAAGTTAGACTCGCAGCCGGAATGACGAGACGCGAAGAGACGGCATTGTTCACCGCCAAATTCGGGGGGTTGATGAATTTTGCAAAAAGGTGATGTACACCTGGGCTCGCCGCACGCCCCGCCACGCCCCGCCACGCCGCGCCCCTCTCGGCGCGAGCGGAGCAAGCGGGCTGTGGCGATACCCGCTTAGTTACCCCGCGCGGTGCCCTGATGAAATATTTAGACAGGGCCCCTCCCAGGGCACCCTGAGGGCCCCGTCGCAGGCTGGCGGCCCGGGTGGGTGGGCTTGGAGGGGCTCCAACCAAAGTGCCTGCTGGATTGATGCACAAGGTATGCCATTTACCGTACACAGACCGACGCTGCGACACACGCACACACACACCAACACAATCTCTGCAGCGCGCATGCCGCACACACATGCACGCCCACTCTCTGCGTCACTTGATTGGAATACGGCAGGAAAGCACTCGAGCACCTACACACGCTTTCTCACACACGCTCACGAACACTCTCTCCGCCGCCCACCCACTCACGCACTGGATTTGGAAAAGTGGGAATTGTGGGCTGCGCAACAACAACACTAAGCACTCCGGCCAATGATTGTGTGTTATTCTTTCACCGCAAAGAAAACTCGCGCCGTTCCCGTCGCCCTTGCGCCGCGCTTTTTACGCAGAAGGGGCGGCACAAATTATGCAAGCTGGGCGACTGACTTGCCGTAGAAATTTTTTCGTGTCTTTGTTTCGACCGACTGGCTGAATGTAGGAATCATGCAAGCGCGCGTCTGTGTGTGTGTGTGTACACGTGCGCGTGCGCCTAGTTTCGTGTTGCGGTGACACTATCGTGACGCGCACTCGACATGAATCGATCGCTGACTGACAATTTTGGCCGGGCGTGACGTGACGCGCCACTCCACCTCAGGGCCGCTCTGCCTCACGCGCCTCGCTAAATGTCCGCTTTGAGTGTGTTCAACATTCCCGTTTTGGTTCACACTTATAACGAAAAACGCAGCCAATATAACGAGTATATTTGCGAAATGTATCTCTGTTTTTCTGAATAACCTTGCAGGAATTCTCGTTGGGACATTTACTTGCGCCCTGCCTCTTTCGGTTTCGTTATTTTCCCCCAGTTCCAGCCGAGTGCTTATCTGAGAACCGCCCGTTGGGCTGTGTGGGCTATCTGGCTGTACCGCGGAACGCGCGGCGAATCCATGTCTGGACCATGATCGGGCGGGCCGAGCCGGGCGGGCCCGGCACCGCGATCCGATATCGCATCCCACTTACTCGCGTTATTTGGCATTTCCGGTCGCGAGGTGGCTGGCTTGTGTACCCGTGACCCCCTGAATAATGTGGCAGCGGAACGTGCCTGGCAAGGGAGAGAGAAAGAGAGGCGGGTGGGTCTGTGCGGGGTTTGCGTGTGGGCGAAAGAAAGGGGCCCTCGTCGAACGCAGCCCGTCACGGTGGCCCGTGGGGCCCGCGGGCCCTGCGGCCTGCCCGGGCCTGCCTGCGGTGCGTGGAGGCAGGCCGCTGCTCCTTATCAAGCCTAGAGCGCGCCATAAATTTGCCGAGAAATGAAATAACTCCCGAAAAAGCGGATAGGCCGCGGTGGCCCCCGTGCACGCGTCCCGCAGGACCCGCCGGCCCACGGCATGAATGTGGGGCTGCTGGCTGGTTTGCGGTGGAGGGCCCCGGCGGGGCGAGGCGCCGCCAGCGTGCGCCAGCGCCAATGGCACAGCGCGGCAATGGGCGGTACCACTGTTATCGCTTTTGCTGGCGCGATGCGCGATGCCCGTGTTCCTCTCTTTGGCTTAACATTACCCGATCGCCAAAGTGCAGTGATGGCTTTTTGCAGCGCCCCCAGTGCCGCGTTTGCCACTTCGATTTGTACTGCGATTGTTTGATTCGGTTTGCACTGCTGCTGTTCTTTTCGGCGCACATGTTGATTGGTCAAACTTACCCTTGCCTGCCACCTCTTTAATAATACTACTACCGAGGCCTTTTTCCTCGGCAAAAAGTCACAAGCGGCAGTAAGACCCATTTCGTCGAATCCTGTTAGACTCATCTCAATCAGTTCTGCCCTTTTCAAATGCCTATTTTTCTCTTCATCAGAAAATTTGGAAACGAATTGAGTCAGTATACCACCACACATGTACGGACGTCAGTTCGTGTCACGCTCGCTGTTCCGGCGGTCGCAATAAATAATAATGATGCTGTAATTTGAGTCCGGCCTCCGGGTGTCCGCGGGTACCCGGACTCCGGACACCCCCCGCCACAGGCGTACCGCGCGGAGCACGTTCACGGGAGAGGAGCAGGTTTGCGTGTCATCTCGGCTTTGTAAAAACCGAGGGGGGCACTCTTGGAAGCCGTGACCTGACTTTCGCGTTGCTTATACCTTCTCGGTGATAACTGACAATGACGGGATTTGTTTTCTGACAGTGCCTGTGCTACACCTCCCTGCCGGTGGATGCGCACCCCGAAGCCGTCAAGGCCACCCCCGCCACTCCAAGAGTTGAAAGCAGAGTGCTGGGCGTGGCGCGCAGCAACCTGCATGCAATCAGCGCGGGGCTGTGATCAGCGCAAATGGTAACGAGCAGAGCGAGCGGTGGAGCGGGTTGGCCCCAACAGGGCCAGCAGGCTGCACCGGGCCGGGCCGGTCTGCAGGCTGGCCCTGCTGCAGGACTGGCTTCCAGCGCTACAGCGCCACGTGGAAACAGGAAGAGGAGCGACGTGGCTGTGCAGGCCGTTGTTTGGGCCGCGAATGGTGTCCGTGTGTGTGCCTGGGCAGCCGCTAAATGCAAGTAGTCAAACCGTCCTGCCATTGTCTTGGCCCTTTTACAGAGTACGGGACTTGCTTTGTTAATCATTTTGCCTGTCCAATTGCCTACACGAGGCATAAGTTAAAGACAAACCCAATTTTTCACTCAGGAGTGTGGTTATTGGAGTCCCTTATGCACACCACGGAAATAGTGTTTCCACCAGCATCCGCCATCGGCCTCGGCCCTGCCTGGCCAATCACTAGCCCCTGCCTCTGCGCCACTTACGTCGCTGCGCCGTCGCAGCGCACCGCGGCGAAGTGAGCACACACAGACACCGCCAGGCCCCGCCAGGCCCCGCCATCCGTGCTGCTCACAACTCAATTCATGTGGAATGAATATGCATTACAAACTTTGGGGCTCGCAGCTCGCATTCCACAGCTGCGGCAACCAGCCCCTCCCCTCCCCACCCCCTCCGGGCCCCCCTTTGTCCCCGTGCGCTCTGATTATGATTCGACGGCCCCACCCCCATGCACACACTAATCACACAGTCCCCGTGCGCTGCGCGTTCCGGGGATTCACCCTACTGTCGATCCCCGTCCCGGGGCCCGCCGCGCAGCACGCCCCACGCACGCCCCACGCACGCCCCACGCACGCCCCACGCACGCCCCACGCAGCGCAGGGCCTGACGGGCCAGCGGCCCTATTCAATAAGGTAATCGTACGCGGCGCGGGTGTTCGCAGAGGACAGCACCAGTGCTACCAACACACACACGGCGCCGCATGCCACCACACCCGCCATAGAGCGGCCTTTGTCTATAAGTATTGCGGCGGCACCAAACACAGCCCGGCCGGCCATCGCCCTGCATCGCCCGGTTTCGCCCTCACTGCAATAACCGCCGATTATTCGTGCGCTCAGCGATTTTCGCCGGCCCTGTGGGGGAAAAAATGGCGTAAAAATGATTGAAAATAGGGGTAGGGCGCTGCTGTCGCAACGGCGTACGCGCTTCGTTTGATGTTATTACGCTTTAATCGGGTGGACCGAAAGTGAAATGAAACTACGTCCGATGCTCCAGGCTTTTTCTGCTCGCTGGCTTGAAACCTGGTTCATGCAGCGTGATGCGTCTTCAGCGGAAAGACATGCTCGAGGAGCTCGCTCTTGTCCTGCCATCGCTGCTGTATTTTTTCCATTTCCGTCTCTGTTGCGATGGCGTGCTCATATTGGAAATCACGGTGCACTTTGTGTCCAGAGCGGGGTATGCTGTGACGTTTTGCAATGGACAGGGGAAGGGCTGGGAGGAGTCGTTGGGAAAGCCTGCAGGAAAGGGGAGGGGGTGATAATCTGTTTACACAGATTGCACGCGTCCTGGCTCCCGCAGCACGGGCTGGAAGAAAACAAGATTTGAATCAAAGTGCCTTCTGCTTTCGCAAAAAATCACAATATCAGCTTTGTTTTATTTTTCGTGTGTCGTTGCTGGCCTGGAAGAATTTGTCACAAAGTCATCGACCCGAGTTCATGTCAAAATTAACCCTAAAATTTTATCTTTTGTCTTGTTTCAGATTCCGAGTCCCTAGCCTGAGTCCCGACCGCAAAGCGACAGGTTTGTGTCTTTTTGAATATCGTCTCGCTTAACGGTGTACCGAGGCGCCCCTGGCGCCCCTGGCGCCTCGCACGACACATTAGCCGAACTGCGCAAGACAAACCATTTGCCAATTCCTCTGTGACTTTGACACACATGCCCCGCCACGCCGTAGCCCGGAAATCCAACAGAACGCGTGAGGCCGGAGCGGAGCGACCCCCCGAGGGACTACCGGGACCCAGGGCTGCCTGGCAGTGCCTGCCTGGAAGGGAAGTTCGGTGGCGCCGCGTCGCCAACGAGATAACCATCGCCTGCTTTCACCTGAGTCCAGTCACCAGCAGCAGCGCGCTGGATCCGACCGGCGCCTCTCTCGCACTTCCAGGGCTTCCTGTTGAGGGTGCGAGAGAGACGCAGCCACGCTGTTCGGAGCGAGCCCGTAGACGGTGGTTTGCCTTTGAGGCAGCAGGCAGCCTCCCTTGTTTGAGTTGCCTCCTTGTTTATCACAACGACGCCAGCGACTAATTCGCCAATCTGGGGAGGCACGCGTGTCAATCGGGGAGGAGAAAAAGGGGAGGGGGAGCCAATAAGGGCGGACGGGGCTAGATTGCGAGGGCCACAATGTCCCTGTGTGCGTGTGTGTGTGTGTGTGTGTGTGCAGGCCCCCGGCCAGATCAATTTGACCACCTCCGCGTGCGTGCCGTGGCGTTTGAATAGAAAAGTATAAAAAGGCATGTAAAAGGCAACCGGCCGGCAGGGCAGGCCAGGCCGGGCCCTCGTAAAAATATCCATAAGGAGGGAAGAGGGCTGGCGCTGCCCCTTGAACCCTTTTCGAGAAATGCCCTTTCGTGACCGATCGCCCCCGCCCCCTGTCGCCGGCGGCGCGTAGGTAGGACTCTCGCTCCACGAGGGCTGGCTGGGAAGTGTCCTCCAGGATCCAGCAGGAGACGTCGTTTCCGCGTGTACACTGTCTTTGGGCGTTTTCCCCGGCCCCTTTAGCGAGCCCCGGTCCGGCGGCGCCGCAGCACGGCGGGCTCTGTGCATGGCCTGAAGGCCTTTGTGCGGCGCCTCCTGGAGGAAACCTTTCCAAAGCCTTTTCACCGGCCGACGCGCTGAGGCGTCGGCACGGCACTGACGCCATGCGGCACCACGACTGTCCTCTTCCCGAACGGCGTGAACGGATAGCAGGGCCTTGTCGACGTGGAACACTTGAACGCACACTTGGTGACACACCGAGGGAGTCTCCTTGAACACGCTTTCGCGGCGCCGGTCGGCCACGCACCCGGCAGTGCCCGGCAAGTGGTTTGGCCGCGGTGGGCCGCGCGCCGCGACCCTCCGCGATGTAACAGCCTGTAACGAGTCTGGCCGCGGACTTTCCATGACAATCGCCGCGCAATTAATATTCATTACGTTAAGGGAAGCCATTCGGCGTCGCCGCGGCTTGGCACGGCGTGGCACGGCGTGGCGCAGCACGACGCTTTGCTGCGCCCTTTGGACGGCGGGAGGAGCAGGCAGGCACTGCCAGACAATTGGGGGAAAGAATAAAAGCTCGGATAAGTGGTTTCGGGTAGCCATCGCGGCGGCCTGCCCCGCCCGGCGGCACGGCGGCACGGCGTGGCACGGCACGCCACCCCTTCCCGCTCTTGATTACGCGGCATCAAATGGAAGCGCCGCGAAATTCGCGCAAGGCGCGGAGCGGTCGTCGAGAGGTCGTGTTCTTTTCGACTTTCTCACCGTAATTACTTCTTCTTCCTCGGCGGCGCAGGCGGCGCGGTGCTTTCGTCGCGCTGTGTGTCTCTCTGTCTCTGTCGCACTCGCGGCGCGCGTCGTGCGGGTGCGACAGAGAAGGGCGCGTCTCAGAATGAGCCTGCTGCTGATTATAAGGGCGGCCGGCCAGAGACCGTCGTCGCGCTGAGACGAACTCGCTTTGGGTTTCGTTTATGTTTCGGCGTACAAAATCCCTTTCTTCTTCTTCCTCCTCCTCCGTTTTCGCTCCTTTTTGAGACACAAGTCTGCTTCCTCATCGCGGCTCCACCTTCGAAATGAATGAATTAGCTCGGAAATAAATTGGCTCGGAAAGGTGCAGGTGCTGCGTGGAAAAACCCGGCCCTGGTTTTGCCCTCATCAAACCCACCCTTCAAAGCGAGAGAGAGAGAGAAATAGAAAGAAAGAGAGAGAGAGAGAGAGAGACGGAAGAAAAAAATAATGTGTCTTAAATAATTATGCAAAGGGGCGCGGTGTGTACTACTAGATAGAGAGCGATCTGGTTCCTTTCCGTTCCATTTCGTCACGGCGACATGTTAGATATTCAACGGGCGATACGCTGGCCTCACATTTATATGTAAAGCTGCGCCGCATGCGACGCCCGCAGCCAGCGAGCAGTGGCGTGGCAGCGGCGTGGCCGCCGACCGGCCGGCCGTGGCTGCGCACTGCTCGACGGTTTGGGCCGTTCAAGGGCAGAGAGAGAAAAAAGGCTTCTCTAGGTCAACGCGTGGGAATTTGATGTCTCAGTTTTGTGCTGCTCGAGCAAGGACGTATGAATGTGTCAACGTTGACGTGGAGTCGGCAGGGCGTGCGCCACTGTAAAATAGCGCCCGATGTCGTAGACCGCTGCCAGCGGCGAAAACCGCCAATGGAACCGAACGCAAAGGGCGGCGGGGCGAGGCGGGGTGGAGGGCGGCCGAGTTGCAAAGGGCGCGGCTAATCAGCTGTTGCTGGGCGAGCCCTGCGCCGCCCCGTCCTGCCCTGCCGAGCCGCAGTTATTTTGCGGTGGGGCGGATTTGGCGTTTCGCGGCGATGGCTAAGGGATAGCCACTTGGCGGCCAGTAAATACTGTTTACTCGCTGTATCGTTTCCCTCCCTTCCCCCCACCCCACAGGCCAACGACTGACCTACGTTGTTTGGCTCGCAAAGCCACAACGGTTCCGCTTGCGGGGGGAAAGAGTGGGGGGTCCTTGCTACTGGAAATACAATTTTTGTACCCCCGAGCGTAAGTGAAACGCGGTGCGGGTTGCGGTCGCGAGGACGCCGTCAGAGGTTCGAAGCGGGAACCGGAACGCACAGCCGGGCCGTGCGGGGAGGAGGCTTTCTCGCGGTAGGCCTTCCTCGAGCCGCGTGTTGGAGGGAAAACGCCGTAAAACCGACGGAAGCCCTCCGCGCCGCGGTATCACCGTAATAACACAGTTCTTTATGAAGGATGCCACCTCCGTCCCCGGCAGCGCGGCGCAGCTTTCAGGCTCGGCAGCCTCCGTCGTGCGGCCCGAGAGACAGGCAGGCTGCCTTTTGCGCGTCTCTCTCTCTCTCTCTCTCTCTCTCTCTCTCTCTCTCTCTCTCTCTGTGGCGTCTTGTTTCCGGGGCGGGCACACCGAACGCCATCATGTCGATGCTCCAAAACACGGGCCGAGCGCCGCCCGCCCCAACAGTGCAGCCAACCAAATGATGATAAATTAAAAGCACGGTCAAGCGGATGACGCGTGCGGGGCCGGCGGTCGCGGAACGGCCGGGCCGAGAGGAATCCGATATCGCTGAAGAAGGAGGAGGAGGAGGGGGCAGGACGTGAATGGTGTAGGATTAGAGGTGCGGAAGGAGGGGGGGGCTGCAGACGAGCTGCGGGTATGAGGAGCAGGACTCGGTGGCCCCCATGCATCGTCCGCGCGGGTCAACACACGGACGCCCGGCCAGCCCCCCTCCCCCTGGCCGCCCCGGGCCGGCTTCTCGGGATCAAACTTACCTTTATTGAATTTTAGAGAGCCTTATTTCAGGGCTGGGCGCGCAATTATCGGACTGGCCGGCCATCGGGCGAGCCAGCGCGGCCGAGCCAGCGCGGCCGAGCCAGCGGCCCAGCGGCCGCCTCGCTGCACCCATGGCGCCACGGCCGCGACGCCGACGTCGCGCTGTCTCCCTCGCTCCTCCACGGCGCGCCCCGGCAGTGCGAGAGAGAGGCCGATCGGCGGAAGCGCTGTCCTGCAGCTCGGGCGGGCCGCCTTCCTCCATTTCATTTCGCGCTCGGTCAGACCACATTTTCATACTTGTTTCGTCGGGAAATGATTAAGGCGTGCTTTCCCGTTTTCCGCGTGTCCGCTCGGATCGCGCTGTGCTGCTGCAGTACAGAGGCGGGACGGAGCGGGCTGCCGAGCTCCCCTTTATTTTCAAAGGAGCAAGCCAACAATTTAAATTTTTTCCCGCGCTCGTCGGAGTATGAGGATGAAAATGCGCGCGCTGCGTCGCGGCGCCGTCGTCCTAAAGGCATTTTTGGGATGCCGGCAGGGCCGGGCAGGGCGCACCTCGCTGCCGCCAAAACCGGTTCATTTTTTAGCGACTCGCGTCGAGTGGCGCCCCGCCCCGCCCCGCCCCGCCGGGCCACCGCGCCGCGCAAGACACAGAGCCTGCCCGCCGTGCGTGTTTACCTACTTCACTCGGTGTGCTTTGCGCTTAAACTTCATAAAGTTAGATCGACGCCCACCAGCGCGCGCGAGGCACACACACACACGACGCTCAAACTTTTCCCGTTCGAGTGGGCGACTCTGTGTGTGTGTGTGTGTGTGTGAGGGGGGGGGGGGGGTTACTCTGCTTCCCTGTCCGTCTTGGTCCGGTTCCGGCTTTTTTTTCTGTCGCGACCGGTCGCAGTTTTACAGCCGGGCAGCGTTGAGTAGGTGGGCATTCCCACCGGCTTGTTGGACACAAAATGAAATTACGCGGCGGGGCGGGGCGGGGCGGGGCGGTACGTGGCGGGGTGGGCTGGCAACGACTACACAGTGTGCGCCGCTCATTAACTACTTTAATGACTCGCTCCCCAGAGCCGTGCATGCCGCACGGACCGAACTGCAGCAGCCCAATTCACTTATGTGAGCCCCCTCCCCCCCTCCCCCTCTGAGCATCCCCCGTCGGCAGGGCGGCCAGGCGGCCTCTGCGCGCCTTTTCGGCACGAGCAGGTGGAGTGGCGCGAGCGGCGGCGAAGATGTTTGGTCGCTCGGCACGTCTCGGCGTCGTCCGGCTGCGCAACCACCATCCAGCAGCGACGGGCGGAGCGGCGGCGGCGCGCACAAAACATCCATTTTGCAAACTTGATAATCCCATTGCGGTGGGCGGCCCACAATACCCCTCGTTATTCCGACCCGGACTCTGCAGCCCCCCCTTCCCCCCTTATCCCCCCTCCCCCAATCACGACCTTTTTTCCCTTTGCCGCGCGCTCACAGTGTCACGCTGCCCTGTAGTGTGCCGCCCTGCCCGCCCGCGACCTTTCCCGCTTCGCCCTCCGCGTGGACGCCGCCCACACCGGAAAAAAAAAGTTCTGGAGATTCTGGACAACTCGAACGATTTGGCGCGGTGAGACGTCCCACTGAGAGAGAGCTAAACCGAGGCAGGTGGAAAATCTCAGTATCGCTGCTAGCTTTGCCGCGCGGTGCAGAACAGACGAAACCAACTTGCCAGAAATTGAGGGGCGCAGCCTGGGTGCCTGCACAAGGCACGGCACGGCCCGGCGGATCCATCCGGGCGGGCAGGCAGGCGGGCGGCATCAGCCCGTCTGAGACTCGGCTCAGCGTGCGGCGCGGTGCGGCGCGGTGCGGCGGCTCGGGCTTCATATCCGGCGTGCGGCCGGCGCCAACGCCTGCCAGACCTTTAACTCCACCCTCGACCACACCGCCCCCCTCCCCTTTCCCCGAACGTCGCCACAAAACTCCTCGCCCCTCGAACCCCGAGCCGAGCCACGCCAGCCGCGCACAGCTCCTCTCAGCCACCTCCTTGCCTCCACGCCCGTCGCCCAGCAGAGTCGCTTGCGTCGCTCCGTCTCCCTCGCACTCGTGCGGCGTCCCGCGTTGGTGCGAGAGAGACAGAGTGACTCTCGGCGGCGGCGGCGGTGTTCCCGCGGGAAACTTGTGCCGGCCGCGGGGAGCGGGCGACGCGCGAGGCGGCCGGCGCGCCGGAATTGGGGACTACTTGGTGGCCAGCGGGGCGAGGACCGCGACGAGGTTCCCCGAGACTGCGGTGGCGGTCGGCAGACTTGGAGCTTGGCGGCGGCGCTGCGGCCGGCAGGCCGGCCAGGGCCGAGCCTGAGGGCGCGTAGCAACGACGCGCCGAGTGCGGCGGACGCGCTCGAGGCTGACCCTGTCGCGCTCTACGGCGCGCAGCGGAGGACGAACCCGGCACGCGCCGATGTGCGGCGCGTTGCCTACCCGCCGCTTGAGCTCGACTTGCTCGTCGAACCGCTGTGCCCCTGCTGCTCTCGAACGGGACCGCCCGCCAGTGCGAGAGAGACGGAGAGCGGCGCACGGCGCGCGCGACGCCTGGCCGGCTGTGCCGTGTCGGCTAAACACGGCGCGCGTCAGAAACTTGTAGCGCGAATGGCGAAAGGGGCGAGAAGGACAAAGACGGCAAGTGTACTCGGAAAGCGGAAACTCAAGAATAATCCCATTTCTCATGCTAAAGCGCGAGTCACTCATTGTCTGCGGTTATGCAAACCCCCGCCGCGCCCCGCAGCGCTTCGCTCTGCCTCGCTCTGCCTCGCTCTGCCTCGCTCTGCGACGCGACAACTTTTCAATTCCTTTTGAAACGTTGTAAAGTTTGGCATGGCGCCACGGCGCGGCGCGGCTCTTGACGAATCGAGTTTGCAGCTAGCAGCGTGGCAGCGAGCCTCAGACACGGCGTCCGGAGTTTCTCGCGTGGAAATAAACAACAAATTCGATTGAGAAGGCAGCGAGTGTTCGCCCAGCGTGCGGCTTATTTTCAGGTCATGCTGCGCGCGCAGGTGAGACCGAAAGGGGGGGGGGGCACTGCAACCGTCTTTTCCTTCCGAGAGAGAGAGAGAGAGGCAGAGAGAGATAAACTCGATCGGCTCGCGGTCCCTCATTATAACTTGTTATTGAGACATTGTGCTCCCGGCGTGATGTACAACACCCCCCTCGCCGGCCGAGCCGCCGCGTGTGCGGAGGATGAGAGAAGTTGCTGAGCAGGTGGCGGAGGGGCCGGGGCAGGCGAGTTGGCTGCGAGGGTGTTGGTTGGCTGCCACGCCGCCGCCCCCGGCCGCCCCCGGCCGCCCCCGGCCGCCCCGCAGTGCCTGGCACCTTGTCATCAGCGCGGTGCCTGGGCGCTGCCGGGGCGGTGCCGCTGGCGCAGGTGTGGGGATGAGACGGCCAGACTGCGGCACGCGAGCGGCCCGCACCCACGCCAGTCTCTCTGTCTCTCTCGCACCTCCTTGGGCCGGGCCGCGAGCGCGAGAGAGACGGGCCGCCGTCGGCGGAATCAGCCGGCAGGATGTAGTTGAGCCCCGGCATCCTTGGAATTAAAAGGGGATGGCGTGACAACGTGTCGCCCGTCGCAATTTATCCATCTGTCGCCCTCCGTCCGTCAGCCTCGCCGGGCAGTGTCGGAAAAATGATTATTCCGCAACAAAAGCGGGCCTGGGAATCACGCGCCGGCCCTCCGCGACGACGGCGAGGAGGGGGGATTTTTTTGCGAGTGTTTCCGACTTGGGGTTCGTCCCGGGCGCTCGCATCGGGGCGTGATGGAGCAAGGAAGGAATGCAGTATCGGAAACGTCAGGACCTTAGAAGGCTGCCGCGCTGCGCCGCGCCGTGCCGCGCCGTGCCACGCCGGGGCGTCGAAGGTCGATGCGATCCGCCCCGCGCTGCGCGGGCTGCGCGCGCTGAGCGCTAACGGGTAGCGGGGTGACGACTCTTGAAGTTCGTATCGTCACCGCGGCGGCGCGGCGGCGGGCAAGAAAGGCACCCCGCGCGGCTGTTCCCGCCTGTGTTAGTTTTGGATCCGTGGATTGAATGAATGATGCATGGCGGCGCGGCGGCGCGGCGGCACGGCGGGGCTGACAGGCTTCATCAATCACCGCACTGCTGCCACACCGCGCTGGCGGCACGGCGCCACCGGCAGCGCCACCGGCAGCGCCACCGGCAGCGCCAAGACGAGCTGACTCTCTGCATGTCACGCCCCGACCCGCGGCCCCGCGGGGGAGTCGCGACTAGTCGGGGCGCCGAGCCGAGCCGGCCTGACCCGCCGGCGCCTCCTCCGCCAAGCCCTCACGCCCTCTCCGCGCCCACTGCGCGGTGCGGACTTGCGGTGCCGCGCCCTGGTACCCCAAACCACGCGGATGGCGTCATTGTGTCCCGCTGGGTTCTCATTCAATGCTTCATTGTGTTTGTTTCAGGATTCCGCCGCAAGCCGCGCTGTGGTCCCTCGCTCCTCAACGGACGTCCTTGCAAGAGGTTCGGAATGTCTGTGTTGTGCCCGCACGTGAGCAGTTTCTGCCTTGACAATCCCGAACCATAACTTAAATATTTTTTGTGTTTCCAGATTGATTGTGTAATGGGTGTCACGGACCTGGGCGAAGACAAGAGAGAATGCGATGAGAGTACAACTGAGTCAGGGGGGCAGTACAAGTGCACAGAATGTAGAAGGACGTTTTCGGAGGAGACGAAGCTAATGGAACATCTTCAAACCCACATATCAGCTGAAAATGCCTCCCAATGTCCAATTTGCTGTAAAACGTTTAAAGTTGAAAGCTATGTCAAAATTCACCTTCGAACCCACTCAGGGGAAAGGCCCTATCAGTGCCCAATTTGCAATAAGAAATATTACCAACATTGTAATCTACAGACTCATATTAGGACTCACACCGGAGAGAAGCCGTTTGAGTGCCCAATTTGTCTGAAAAGGTTTACCAGAGGCGGAACGCTCAGGAATCATCTTCGTGCTCACACAGGTGAGACCCCTGTGATGAATTTCGAGTGCACAGTTTGTAACAGAAAGTTTGCAGACGGGCCGAGGCTCAAAGAGCACGTTAAAAAGCAGCATGCCAGTGAAAAGTCTTTCGAATGCTCTGTTTGTCACAAGAAGTTTGCGGACAAAAATTATGTTGAAACTCATTATCTCAGAGCACATACTGGCGAGAGGCCTTTCGAGTGCGGTGTTTGCCATAAAACATTTAAATTAAGAGGGGATCTTTCAGTTCATTTACGAATCCATACAGAAGAGAAAAGTTTTGAGTGCACAGTTTGCAACAAGAAGTTTTTGCTTCGTTCGTCTTTGCAGTCTCATCTTCAAATTCATACAGGGAACAAACCTTTTGAGTGCACATTGTGTGATTTAAAGTTTTATAGAGCATATGATCTTAAGAAACATCTTAGAATCCATACTGGACAGAAACCAGAGGGGCGTCACGAATGCACAGTTTGCAACAAGAAATTTGTCGGTAAAACATACTTGGATGCTCACTCACGAACCCACACTGGTGAAAAACCCTTCGAGTGCTCAGTGTGTAATCAGAAGTTTATAAGAAGGGACTATCTCAATATCCACCTTCGAACGCACACAGGGGAGAGGCCTTACAAATGCACAGTTTGTGACAAGACATTCAGTCATAGTGTCTCTCTGAGAGTTCACTCCAGATTGCACACTGGAGAGAAGCCCTTTGAGTGCTCGGTATGCAGTAAAACGTTTAGACAGAAACCAAATCTACGAAGTCACTTCAAAAAATATCATACAGGCAAGATAATGTTCGACTGCTCTAACTGCGACATGAAATTTTTCACCGAAACAAAGCTACGGCAACATACTATTAAAACGCATCGAGGAGAGAAGCCTTTCGAGTGTACAGATTGCGACAAAAAATTTAGGACTAGTTCTGGTCTTAAGATCCATGTCAGTACACACACTGGTGAGAAGAGTCATGAGTGCACAGTTTGCAAAAAGACATTTAGACTCAAATTTTCTCTGAAAATTCACTTTAGGACGCATACTGGGGAGAAGCCATATGAGTGCTCAGTATGCAACAAGAAGTTCAGGCAATGTACAGACCTCAAAACTCATCAACGAATTCATACAAATGAAAAGCCCTATGATTGCACCTTTTGCAGTAAGAAGTTTCGTTTAAAAAGGTTCCTGGATATACATCTTCGAAGTCACACAGGGGAAAAACCTTACAAGTGTACATTTTGCAATAAAAGATGTTCTCAATCATCTGATTTAAAAACACACATTCGAACTCATACTGGGGAGAAGCCCTATGAGTGCTCAATCTGCTCTAAGAAGTTTACCCAAAGAGCTCACCTAACAACCCATCTTAAAATGCATAAAGGAGAAAAGCTGTTTGAGTGCACTGTTTGCAATAAGAAGTTTTTGGACGGCTCAGGTCTCAGATCTCATCTTCGCTCCCATACTGGGGAGAGGTCTTTGAAGTGCACCGTTTGTGCGAAGAGATATGTTAATAGTCGAAGCCTAAAAGAACATCTTCAAACTCATGAAGAATGCCAAGGAGCGTAAGCACTTGATCTTGAAACGACGTAGGTTTCATAAGACTCTCTGTCGGGTAGGAAATGGTGCTCACTTCTGCTGATTTGTTCAGAGTGTGTTGTCACAAAGCAGCAGTCGAGTCTTTCAGACAATCGAAGGGTTGTTGGGGCCCCTTCGCTGGGAGGCTTGATGGCAAACAATCGAGAAAATAAAATACTCTCAGAATGATCTGTACCGAGGAAAACGAATGTTGTTCAGTTTTCTATGGCTTTTTGTATCAAACATATTAAATTGATGTGTTGTGGAATATAAAGTATAAATAAGAACAAGAAATGGAAAGTAATGTTTTTTTTTTAAATATTTAAGAATCACTACTTAGCATTTACTGGGATTGTGAAGAGATCCATTTTCCTGTGTTTTTTGTTGTACTGATCGTTATGTTGCCTTTTCCTGATACGTCTTTCCACGGTTTGTAAAAGAAAGGTTTCACTATTATTTGATATCTAGACGAATTAAGTTACGTCTTGTGTTTTGTATTTGTCTATTTACTACAGCCGTAGTACAATTTTTAAATAAATAAGATGGATTCTGGATTTGTTTTGAAAAGATTATTTTTATATTTTACTCCTTTGTTTAGAACAGTTCAATACATTTAACAAGTGGTTCAAGCTTGAGCATATGACGTTTCTCCTAGTATTTTCAGGGTGGATCTCTGTTCCGTGCTGGAAGTGGATTTGAGGGAGAGAGCGAGGGAAGAGGGACTCAGGTAGAGGGAGGGAGATGGGATGGGGGGGAGAAAGAGGTTCGAATAGAAGTCGAGGATGCTCCGGTGGGGCGGGGTGTCTGATGATGAATGGCCCCCCCATTGTGGGGCGAGTTGATTAGCTGTGAATGCAGCGTTTGTCGTTAGGACTGATTAATCGCCCACTGAGTTGGGGAGGGCCGGCCAGACCGAAGGTAGGAAAAGGTGTGGGAGTTTCGCGTCGGTCCGTTTTTGCCTTTTCCAGCCTCCCTCATGCCGCCTGTTCGCATCGCGGTCTAGCGACCCAGGCAGGTACTTTGTGAACTCGTCCTGCGTTGAATTCTGCATACTTAGGAGTGACGTCACCGCCTTCCGAGGAACCGTGGACAGCTCAGCGGGGGGCATCTATCTGCGTCTGTCTGTCAGTCTGCGCCTGTCCGGCAGCCCTACCTGTCCCTTTGTCCGCCTTACGGCCTCACGGTGCTGATTAAGTCCACGCGGCATTGTCTGCGCGGAGGGAGGGCTCGGGGCCAAGGCCTGGCCGAGGCCCGGCTGGAGGCTCCTCCCAGACAGTCCGACGGATGATCAGACAGACGGACTCTTCTTGGTCGGTTTGAGTCGACTCGGAGGATTTATGCATTTTGGGCCGCAGAGGGAAGTCACGTGTTGGTGCCCCACTTGATCTCCGAGTCGCTCAGGGCAACTGCCCCCCTCTCTTTTCCCCCCAAGGAGAGGCGTGCCATCTTCTCGTCCGTTACGCCTGGGGAAAAAGTCCGCTATCTCTTTCTAATCTCATTCACGGCGCGTGGAGCTCCGCTAGCGCGCTGGCGGGGAGGCGTGGCGGAGTGACGCAAGGCGCCCCGTGGCCCGGCGTGGCGTGGCCCGGCGGGGAGAAACGCTACACCGCACGGAGTGGAGTGGCTAGCAGTCTCCCCGCTTGCTGGGGCCGGCCGGGATGGCCCGCGGCAGCAGGACCCGCTTTCCGTGCGTTTGGAAAACTGGCTGTGCAAGGAGCTGGCTAGGTGGTCCCACGAAAGAAACGTGGCGATACCCGCACAACGGCGGGCGTGTGACGCGTCGTCAGACACCCGCGTCACGAGAGTGCGCCTGATGATACGATCTGAATTCAGCCGTTTTGTCCCACTGTTGCGCCCCCCGCGGGGACCACGCCCAGGCCCGCGCCGCCGAGCACGCCAAAGAGGCCCCCTTCTTGTATCACGTCCCGACCGATAACTCGGCAAATTGCTTCCTCCCCCCACTCCACTGGCAAGTCCCCGAGGCCGTCCCGGGCGTCTCGGCCGTCCGCCAGGAGCGGGGCGGCCAGGTCCCGTCCGTCGCACACGCGCGCCGTGAAATTCGCCGGCCACACACTGCTAAATGGCGGTGGGGTGGCCGGCCGTCTGGGCCCTGGGGTGCGGCGGGGCCGGGCGGGGCGGGGCGGCACATAAGTGCCGGCTCCTTTCTCCAGAAGGAGAAGGTCAACCAGAACGAGACCAGACGCCGCCCGGCCGTCCGACGAGAACACAGCACACACGGAGCGGAGCGCGGAGCGGAGGGTGGGAATCAGGCGTGGACGTCCACTGGACGTTGCAGGAAAGATTGTCCAGCTAAAGCCGGCTTCAGCCAAGCCTGGAATGACTCCGGCCAAGAGTCCGGCCACGTCCGGAAGGAAGCCAATGACTTCCCCGAGCCGCAGCGCCGCAGCACTGGGGGGCGCCAGCCACCACTAACCCTCTCCGCCTGGAACTGACTCCGCGAGCCAACTTCATGCTGATGATTTTATTCTGTGGAAAAGAGTCCGTCAAATGTCATGAAACACTAGGGCCAGGGCGGGGAAGAACTGGACGGGGGAAGAACTGAACACCCCATATTTAACTTCAAATGCCGTATGCACAGGCACAACAATCATCAAGAGTTGTTCCGTGGCATCAGCGGTTCATTACAAGAGATAGTTGTTGAGCCTGTGAATATGGCAGTTGAAGTAAAGTATGGGCTGTTCAGTTCTTCCTCTGTCCAGTTTTCCCCCACCCTGACCCTACTTTTGACCTTGAAGACCAGCATCAACACTCTGCGCAACATTTTCCATGCATGTCTGCTTTCAGCATTTGCAGAGTGCCTCCCAAAAGCAGCGTTCGGCGTTTCTTGCGGTGTAGGCGCAGCGATAAGCCCCGTGCCAAGAAGCCGGCGCGAGGCTCCACGCGCGGTCCGGATGAGGGTTGACAGGGCGGACCGTGCATAGCCCCGCCCCGCCCCCGCGTGGGCCACACACGCGCGACGGCACGCAGCGCCGCTTTCATGGCCGCTCTTTAATTCAGCAGCCCGGCGGGCGGACCGGCCTGCCTGGCCCACTGGCCGGGCCGGCCGGAGCCTGGCAGAGCGCAGAGCTTGGCGGGCTGCTCATCCGAACACTTTCTCCGCTTTTATATATTTATGTGCCGCTGCGCTGCGGCGGGGCGGGGCGGGACGGGGAGGTACACCGAACGGCCGGACGGACTGTCCGGACGAGTTTAGGGCGGGCATGCGGGCCGCGGTGCGAGAGAGAGGGGGAGCAGTCTCGACGCTCCGCTCCGATTTTCTTCCGTCCCAGACGTAATTATACGCAGCAGCGCCGGACCGCGCCGCCACCGTACCAGGTTACACAATTCGTCTTCTTTTGTCATTTTTTCCTCTCTTTCTCGCTCTCGTCTCCCTCCCCTCTTAACTCCTTGGGCACGTTAAACAATCTGTCACGCTGCCGGTCCCCCCTGCCGTTCGGCAGCGCCGTCCCTGGGGCCCCAGGGCCTCCGAGGCGCGCGCTAAAACACGTTAAAATGGCCGCCGGGGCCTGGATCCGACTATCGCGCAAACCTTTCAAAGAAAAAGAGTTTGGCAACTGTCCGTCTGTTTCGCTCCAAGACCTATACCCCACGTGACCGGGGCCACTAAAGGCCTGGCGGGGCGGCGCAGGGCAGCGCAGTGGAGTGAATGAAATGGATCGGCCAGCAGCGGCGCTTTCCGTCTCTGTCGCACTCGCGGGCCGTCCCGTCGGGTGCGAGAGAGACAGAGCTGGAGAGTGAGCGCGGCGCCGTCGGCGCCCTTCAGCCCGGTCGCCGACGTGCAGGTCGCGGCCCCCGCCCCGTCGTCGCCCGGTCGGGCACCGCGTCGTCGGCACCGCGACCGACAACGCTGCGCCGCTTGCCCTCCTCACTGCACACCGTGCACACCGGGGTGCACACCGTCCTGCCAGTTTGGCAGCGCGAATTTTCCGCGCCATTGGCTGCCCAAAATGAACCAGGAAACGCGGCACGGCGCCGCTCGGTAGGCAATTGCTTCCCGGAGCACGCGAAGTAGGGCACTGCCGCCGAGTGGAAGCGGGCCAGGGCGCACTTCCTGGAATTTTATTTTTGTTTTCGAAAAGTCTCGGGTGGAAAACCCACCGCCGTAGCGTAAAGTGTTGTTGTTTTTCCGCTGTGCTCATTGGTGGCGGCGTCGGCGAAGCACGGCGAGGCACGGTGAAGCCAGGGCGGGTGGCGGGCTGGCGGGCCCCACATGGTGAACTTCCGGTCTGGCTGCGCTCCCTTTTCACGCCCGGCGCGCCACGCCGAGCCACGCCACTCGTACGAGCTGTCAATCACACACTCATCCCATAAGCCGTCCCCTCGCCGAGCTCACCGAGCCCCCCGGCCAGGCCGGCCTGCCCCAGGGGGGGCTCTGCGAGACCCGCACGGCTTTTCGGCAATAACGGGAGTATAGATTACCTATCTTCCTCAGAACCGATCACGGCAAGTCAAAACTTTGGACAGCGCCGGAGGAGTTAGCTGTTGGACGCCTCTCGCTTGCAGCCGCCAGTCGCTCCCCCCTCCACCGGCCGCCACCCACTGCATCCGCGCCAGGCCCGCCTAGGCCCGCCCCTGGGCTCTAAATCCAGGCGTTTGCGTGGCATTTGTCAAGAGCTGGCTGAGCGCCCACCCGGCCGGGAGGGCGGCGCGGCGTAGGGCGGTCCTGGCCAGCCCTGCAGGCCTGCTGGGTGTGTCCCTCAGTCCCTCCTCGCGCCTATCCGTGAAGGGAAGGGAAGGGCCCCGTGTGTTTTATGCCACAACTCGGGGAAACAAGATAAAGAAAAACTCTGGTCGCGGAAGAACGTGGTCGCGCTCCAGTCCGGCCGAAACAAAGTCGAGTAAACTCGAGAGGGACTACTTTGGCGCGACCTGGCTTCGAGAGCGGCTTCGAGAGCACCTTCGAGAGGGTCGACAATGAGTTGGCCAAGTCCGAACCGGCGCTGGAAATTCCTTGGCTGTGGATCCAATGTCGACTTGAAGCGCTGCAAACGCGTTTTGAGCTCCAGAGTCGCTAAATGGGACTCGAACAGGACGTGTGACCCCATCAATGGATTGCTCTCCGAACGAGGAATCCATTGGTAATGTCACACGTTCAGTTCGAGTCCTTTTTAGCGACTCTGGAGCTCAAAACGCGTCTTGAGTTTAGGCCGCGTGCGCTGTGCACCGTAAGACACTAAGCGATGATGCGGGCCGTGTGTCACCGCGCGTTGTTTCCCCTTTCGTTTCGCTTTACGGAAGCGCCTCGTTTCCGAATTTGGCGGCCCTGGCGGCCCTGGCCCTCCGGAAAGGGCCGGCTGCCTCCACCGTCGCCCTGCAGGGCCCGGCCCGGCCCGGCAGACCCTTGAGCCGCCAAAGAGGTCCGTTCCGCTCCCTCCTTGTTTCCACAATAATGCCAGTAGCCCCACCTCGCTTTTGTCTGTTCACCGCGTAGAAGAAAATAATGAGGAACGCACACGGGACAATCTCGCGCCGTCTCCGTCTCTCCCTTTCTCGCTGGGCGTCTCCGTCTCGCTGCTGGCGGCCTGGCGGCCCGGCGGGGTGGACGG